GGGGGGGGGGGGGCCTTCTGTCCCGGCAGATGGACCGCTCCCAGCCTTTAAAACGCCTTGAATAAATCATACATCTAATAATATTCCAGTAATGTCCACCGTGTTATAGTGCAAGCAGTTTTTGGAGTGCGTAAAACACATATTACTTGACCTAATCATGTGGCGTGTGTTTTATTCAGGCTTTAATACTCAACAAGCAGAGGTGGACTGGAAGTATATTTAACTTGTAAGTACTTGTAACTGATGACTAAGTATTTAATACTTACTTGACAATGGGAGAATGAATAAAATATGTATTTAAATGCAAAAACTACAAATGTATAAGCATCAACATATACCAAAAGTACCAAAACAATAGTGCTTGCAGGATAATATAATGTATATAAAAAAGTCCAAATACATGTATGTATATTTGATTATTGAATTATGTTGCAGCTGGAGTCATTTCCCCAAGGGGATCAATAACACTTCTCTTACCCTAAAAAAACCCTTATCATTATTTTTTTATTTTGGAGTTACGAAAAAACGTAAGACTTTAAGTTTTGAGGCAAAAACATTTTTTTTAAATAGTATTTTTGCAAAAAAAAATGGTTTTCTTTATTTCATGTTTTCTGTCCGACTGGTGGAAATAAAACACATCGGGAGTTTATCTTACTAACTTTGTCTGTTTGTGTCTCCTACATTCACCAAGCGTTAGCATGACATCATGCATCATTTGCATATTCAAACATAACACGTCAGAACACGTGTAATATAATAAATAATTGTGTTAAATGTCGGTAATGATGTGGGGAAGGCTGTGGCTCAGTGAATAGTGTGCTGGACTTTTAATCAGAGGAGCACAGGTTCAAACCCCACTGCAGTCAGCATGTCGTTGTGTCCCAGAGACACTTCACCCCAAAGTGCTCCTGTGGGGATTGCCCACAGTATTGAGTATGTGAGTCGCTTTGGATAAAAGCGTCTAACAAGTGACATGTCATGTGATGTGATGGGAAGCTTCATGGTGATATCTGTTAGTTACTTGTTTTACCCTATTCACCTGCAAGTAATACGTGCATTTCCTTTGTATTCTAATGTATGTACTTATCATAAAGTTTGTGTATTTTATGTTGAGTGTTATGTTCCCCTGCAGGGACATGCATTGCACATAAGCTCATGCTGTAAATGCATTACAATGGTTTCTGCTTCCCTGTACACCAATACACATTAACGCATAAAGAATGAATGTACACAGTATCACCCCCGATAGTCTGCAAGTCTTACAGAATTATTATAGGAACCTTAAACACAAGATGATTTACAAAGATATGCACTGTTTCTAGATAAGTGGGTTATTAATTTAATATATTGTTATTATTCATATTTTTAATGATTAAATGTACATTTACAAACGTTTATGGCCAAAAAGTTGGTCTGAAGCAAACGTACAAATAAATACGGAGTAATGTTTGTTGATAAGCCCTATCAATTCAATGTATTATCATTACATGTATGTCCTGAACGTTGGCATGACACAGATTTCTTTTTTTTTTAGATGGTCCTAAACTAATGACTACAGCACAGCTGAAACAATTCATTCTAATTACAACAATAAAAGAAATGACTGTGACTCTGCCCATGGGGCTGATACAACCCTTGCGTCACTATAATAATATATTTCATTCACTTCCTGCAGGAATATCAAAGTGCAAGAGACACAAAAAAGAGTACTTTAACTTGTCTCATCATGAATATATGAATACTAACACACTGAGGGGAATCCCAACCGCAGGCAGCAGAGTGAGGAGAGGGGGGGCATGAACACGATTCAGGCAGGAAATAGCATTTTAACAGCATTATAGGCACAGGTGCAGAAAGTCACTAGATGTCTAAAAACATTTGAAGTGCACACTTTTCACAACATTACGGTGAATAATCAATGTGTTTATTGTATATTGCTGTATTTATTTTCCTAACTGCATTTGATTGTATTCCCATAGTCGTGTACAGAATTGTGGTTTCATCTATTCAGTCTCTGGGCAGGCAGCGAACCAGTTGCATGCTTTGTATCATGTTGAAATGCAGTCCCCATCAATAACAATGCATTCAAATTAAATCAAAAACACTACTAGGATATAAAGGAGAGCCTTACAGCCGCTGGTTTGATGTTAAAGTGTATATTTTATCTCATGTAAAAGCTACAAGAGTTGTAAAATAGCAATATCTATATCATCTCTGTGCAGAAAAACAGCTTCATGCTTTGTTTATATGTTTAAATGCAAATACAAATACATTCAAATCAAAATGCATGGGATGTAAAGCTGAGCCTCAGTGCGTCATTATGTGGATGCTCATGACTGATCAGAAATACAGGGAAATGAAAAAGTCGTATATATATATAAGATATTGCAGTATTCCTGCAGGACATGTGCCCCTCCCCTCCCTCACCACTCACTCACCTATGTGGATGTTACTTGGGAAACTTGTGCCGCTGCAGAGCCTCAGCAGCAGTAGCATCAGCACCGGGAGAACCGGGAAAACCGGGAGGACCGGGCAGCTCCGCATGTTTCCTCCAGCAGACGCGGACCGACCGGCGGAGTCCCATTCACCGCGGGGCCGCCTGAGAGTCACCGCAGCCCGGGGAAACTCTCACACATCCACCGGTACTACGCTCTCTCTGCGGAGCTCCGAGAACACATCCATAGACTCTGAGCCTCTGAAATCTCTCTCTCTCTCTCTCTCTCTCTCTCTCTCTCTCTCTCTCTCTCTCTCACACACACACACCTCCAACTCTCTCTCTCTCACACACACACCTCTCTCTCTCTCCACACACACACCTCCCTCTCTCATACCCTTCTTACAATCTCTCTCCTCCTTTTCGTATTTCCCTCCCTCACTGTCTCACGTTCCCCCTCCTCCTACACCCATTCCCTTTCTCTAACACCACACACACACACACACACACACACACACACACACACACACACACACACACACACACACACACACACACACACAACCTTTTACTAAAGGCTCAAGACACTTTTTCCACCATTGAAAATGTCATCAGCCCGAAAAACTGGCAGGATTTTCAGAGAGCTAAAGTTAAATGTTCTCACTTCCCCTTTCTCAATTAATTTAATTAAAATAGACAAGGGGCAAAACTGATGGATAAAGGGATCCGTGAAATGTTAAAGTGTTAAGCGTAACGCCACCTAGCTGCTGTATTTGACTCGAATAAGAATTAGCGCCGACCTCAGCTTACGTTGTCAACAAAATATTAAAACCAAATTCTGAATCACACTGAGACCTTAGTGAAGTATTTATTTGGTCACACGTGTTAGTTATTTACGTTGAGGGTGAATGGTGTGAACCTATTGTTTTGAAGGTAAGAAAATGATTTTTATTTGAATGCCGTTAGTTCTGCTGGTATTTGGTCATGTACAAAAGTCAATATTTAAAAATGTTACCTGATGTTAGAGCCGCATGAAAAAGTCAGAGGATCACCAAAGTTCTCACGAGTTGCCATGAGGGGAATAGGAATGGGTCTACCAAATGTCACGGCAACACAAAGAACAGTTGTCGAGATACGCCAATCTTGGACCAATTGGTGACCAGGAAACGGGTTAAATGCAGCGTCCCGTGTGTTTCTCACATTGTTTAACACACATTGTCGGATGATCGGTCAAACCTTCCGTAAAAACACCAGCATGTCTTCTTTATCAGCGGCAGAACAGCCACATGTTAACCTGTTGGTTTCTAATCAGAGAATGGCCGTCCTCCTCCACAGTTAGCCCACACGAGGAATAATGGGAACGCTGGTAATCCCCCTTTTTATTATTTGTATTCAATTGACTCTTTCATCCACATCTCTGCCTCACGTATGCATCTGCTCTCACAAACAGGCAGCGTAGGAGGCTCCGCTGGAAACTAGTGGTGACACAAGTGGAGAATGAACCGTCTTGTTGATCTGTTTAGGAAGCAGAGCCCTTCTGATGTCTAAATCAAGACATTAGCTTCTACAAAGTAGTTTGATTGAACACGTTGTGGAAAATCTCCCTGAAAAACAGTTAGGACATAAATGATCCGTACTATCCAATCCACATTTATTTATAAAGCACTTTAAACCCTCCGGACCAAAGTGCTGACACATCAAATATCACACAGCTCAGCTCACGAGACGTACAAATAAGTATAAAATCACATAAAAGATACGAACACAAAACAAACCAGAATAAACAATTACAAAATAAAAATAAAAACAACCATATAGTAAAAACAACAGACAAATAAAAGCAACAATCTACTTGTTTCCGAATGCTAAGGAGAAGAGGTGGGTTTTAAGACGGGATTTCAAAACAGACAGTGGAGCCGGTCTGAAGAGCAAGGGCAGGTTCAAAGTTATACTAATATGACTTTAGGTCCAAAGAGTGAGACAAGATAATGTCTTAATCACATGTTTGGCGTGAAAGCAGCACGGTGCATCTCCATGAGGTTTGGATGATTGGCAGCAGCTCTCTAAAAGAAGTTGACGTGACAAACTGTATAACTCAATGCAATTCCCCCCCGGGGCAAAATGTGAATTTCTCTGGAGGACCACAGGGATTGTAGCCTCTGCAGACCATTTACATGCACTGAAACCTAATGAACACATGAGAGGGAAAAGCCCACCAAGCTACATAGGGCCTCTTTGAACGGCGGAGATTGGACTAATCATCAATCACTAAAGGCTGCCAGGATCAGGGAAAGGGCGTGACCCCATTATGAATGTGCATCTGTTAGCTGATCTTTGGGAACTTCGCTGTTTTTGCAAAGGCTTCTTTTTGCATCAAATCCATGCATCGTGCCCAAATGAAATAGTGGTGGAATGTGCTTGGTGGTGCAGATAGAGGGGCATTTCGTCCTTTAATAGTTGCAGGTTGTTTCCGTCTTCACTGTGCACGTTTAGTGGCCTCAACGTTTGAACTGAAAGGTCTGATGAGTCAGTATAGCGGCAGAATCAGAGGTTGTGGTTGCGGTGTAAATCCTTCATTGTTGAATCCGCGGTCTCCTCGCCGCATTGAGACTGTAATTAGCTCTGAGTGTGATTAGCTGAGGCGGCACATGAGCATCAAACAATAATCTGACGGCTGCTCAGCGATATGATCAGGAAGAGATTCAGCTGCGATTGGACTCCAACGAGAGGAAATGTCATCATGCAATAGCTGGAGGTCAGAAAACTGAACCGAGGCGTTGGCATTGAATAGACCTTGTTATTCATTCACACTAACATAAAGGTGTGTTATCACAGATTGAATGCATTGAGTCTCTATTCCCGCTTTGTAAAATGATGTTCTTTCTAAATTAGGGTGAGAAGTATTTGTGTTTCTTTATTTACTATCACATTCCTAAAGCAGTTTCTTCCAATTCTTCACAATAAAACAAATTCTTTAGTTTTTCAGATATTCGGGGAGATAGTTGATCTGATGATGGCGCTGGATGAGTCAGCCGGGTTCATTCTCTGGGGAAGATTTTGTAAAAGTTTAATGCAAATCCAGGTGTTTTAATCTGGACTAAAGTTGTCGACCAACCAACAGGCTTCACCTTTCTTAACGCAGTAAAAGATCATGCTATTGTGGATTTAATTACATTTAGGCTTTGACTTTAGGTTTAGGATCTTGACTAGATTGGCACAATAGGAAACACCCCAATTCAGATCAGGTGAAACATGTGACGGGTTTTGCCGATGCTTCACCCTCTCACCAAGTCTTAACGATGGGACGTGTAGTTCTCCTGTAATCCTGCTTGTGACGAAGTTACTATGGACTGATGGCTTCGGGCCGGGTAATCTTACACATGTGTGTTTGCACAGGACAAATGTCACGCAGCACTTTAGTGAACAGTCTGCACTTTATTAGGGGGATTTGCACAGTAGAGTTAAACATTGCATATTGGCACATTTTATACTATTTATTGATGTAGTGTGTATTAAATGATTCAACCGTATTAAATTGTGATGTCATCTGGCAGACGCTGGTCGGGCTCTCGGCTCCACCTGGAAAGAAAGGGGAGTTACAGCGAGAGCGCCGAAAGTGTTGGTTTGTGTAGATTGACAGCGGTTGAGATTATGTGCAAAGGATATGTTTAGCATGTAAAGGTCATGATATAGTAAGGTGCATTAATGGTACAAGTTACTCCTATAGTAGTCAACATCATAACACTCACCTCCGCCTGCTCTCCCGTCTCCGGTCCCAAGGTCCGTCATCGTAAAGGGTCCCCGTGGAAAAAGCGGATCCTTGTTATCGTTCCGGATGGGGTTAAAGGAGCAGGTTGGAGGCAGGGGTGATTTGTTATCATGTACATTTGGCTTGTTAGTTTATAACGTTTTTCTTTTCATACAGTAATTAAATATAATGTAAGTAAAGGATGTTTGTCATTCTCCACTAACTGTGTATTGTAAATAACTACGGTCCTTATCTGAGCTGACCATCTCTGCACATGCCACCCCTTTTGGATGGTACGGTCCAATTGGTGGGTCTATAAAGGGTGGTGGCATGTTGGGCTCATTGATGAGGGGAATAGTGTGGGAGACAGTCATTGGGAGAGTTTGATGTTGTCCACCATGTGCGAAAGATGAATAAACCCCCACACCGGGTTGTATCAAGACGTTCTGCCTCTGTCTCCTTACTTGGTCGCTC